AAAACTATGTAGTTGGCTCCACACACACGAAAATGTGTATAAGGTTCGAATGGGTCTAAAAGAATAGGGACTTCTCTCGTATCCAAATCGGAAAGCGTAGTAAATTCCTTTTCCACATCTCCTCGTGCTTCTTCTTTCCTTTCCAATTCGCAGGAACAGTTCCATGACGACATTTGATGCCTAATGCCAATCTGAACACAACAGCTTAGTGGAAATAATATCTGCCGTTTGAAGCCAATAATTGTTGAGCTGCTCGCACTTTTCATGGCCTCTGGAATATCTTCACGATTAACTAACCTGCTGGTCACGATTCTTCTCGCGACGAACCGTCTAGACTTTCATAACAGTCACAGTAACACAAATATTCTGAACAAATGATTACACCAGCGACCAATTTACTTAATGGCACGGAACGCGACTTACTTGTAGTAGCTTCACACAACATGTTATCTAGTACTCTGTATCAAGTGATCTTTTCATATGAAGGTTACTATGCATCAAATAAACTTCTCGAATGATGCCGCTTACGCCAATAGAAAAGATACCTGAAGTCTATATATAAATATTGCCATTTGGACCGATAACCATTTCAGCGTCTATCTCCATCCACTACAACAAGTATTTCCAGTGGAATTAATCTATATTATCGGCACTGCAGTGCTCTCAAACCAGTATCTCTCATGTTAAATCCACTATATGAGAATGAAAATCATTATTTAAACTTGAACAATCCGGATACGCTGATTAGTGATGTTTTCCTGTTCGCTTCATAACCAAGAAGGATTTTCTGATTTTTTTAATGGAGTTTAGTAGTATACCCACTGTACCATTCGGGACTCGTAAAATCTTACAGATTTTTTGACGTATATCAAAGTGATGAGGCCTGTAAACTGGCTTCTCTTATGTTGAGTTACTAACATGGGAATAAAATATTTATTCATTAATCGTGATGCATTTCCACTAGACTATTCTGGAATGACATTGTGTACAACCGCCTTTCGATATTTTGTGCTACCTTCTCTAAAATACCGATCCTTCCACCATTTTATAATTAATGGACCCTATGATTCCTCTTGACCATTTCACCAAATCTCGTCGATTTTCACCACCCTACCTCCCTGGTGTCTTCCACTTCAATCAGAAGATTCTGATTGATTTTAAGAGTAAACTGTACATCTCATTTACGTTATCAAAACATTTTCCTCTAGAGATTGCAAAGCAACTGAGGAGAGTTCATGAAAAACATACCTGCTAATCCCCCAACTACTGTTCTTCTTTCTTCATCGGAATCCGTGAAAACTGAAGGTGTTGCAACACATTTTATTTCACAATACATGAAGGTATGTATGGAAAGCGGGATAAGCAGATGACCGTTTGCAAAGATTATTTTATTTTGATGTATGGTGATCATTTCATTCAAAGACTGCTACCACGGATAGCAAAGCTTCACTAAACTGAACACATTAAAGTAGCACTTGAGGACTGCCCGCAGTGAAGCAGCCTTCTAGTCTAACCTTCACAAGCCTATTTCTAATGCAATCCCACTTGATCCACCATTCCACTTTGAGATATTTGGTAGCTCGAGATATGTTGCACAAGCGGAAATAACTTCAGTCAGTGAAGATTCTAGACCACAATCACTGAATCGCCTTCCTCTCCTAGCAATGTACGACCAGCACCATTGATGGTGAAAATGTGGCTACACCAACTGCCAGCAATGCTATGAAAACACACAGTTGAGTGTCCATAATCATCATTCACGTTTTTCTTTCAGAAGACAAGGGTCACGCTCTAGCAGTCATGAGGAGCAATCTGCAGTGTTTTGGATTCCTCCGACCATCAGTTGTCGGATCTTAGGCTGGCACTAAAGATGATGCAGGTTTCAAAATTTCAAACACATCATTCAAATCTGGTCTGGGACTTCATCAGTGACAAACCTGTTTGAGTTGATCAATTTGGAGAGCAAATGAAATGTTTGACGCATTTCATCATTTCATCCGATGTTCTTAAGCTGTGAGTTAGTGCAGACCGGTAATGAAGCATCAACTTATCTATGAGAAGCGAAAATGGATGTCTGACATACTTAGATTTGTGTTCAGGCGTTTAGAAGACTGCATTCCTCTAGTGTTTCCATCTAGATGACAATGTCGTCTGAGTACTCTGAGGAGACACGGTGTCCTCCATTTGAAACGTCGGAATTATTTCGAGACAGCCTGAGCACAAGTATAGCAAAGATGAACGAGAATGATGGCAGTGGATGTTCTGGACAGGAACCACTGAATGTCATTACATCATGGTAATGAAAGTTCGAATGAAGGATGTTGATTGGTTGAATATACGTGATGCACACCTCCTTCTTAGTCAGAAGTGGATATGGGCATGGAGCCCTGTGGGACTCTTTGCGTCAATTTACTTTAACTCCAACCGCCAATAAGAAAAACCGGGATCGAAATGGGATGCTGGTTATCCACAGGTAAACAACTGCCTCTGTCACACATTCAGCTACCGGTGATAAGGCTTCGCACTTAAAGCTGCATCTTAGCTAAAATTACTCACATTCTGAAGACAATCACTTTTTGCTTTACCACTATCATCCCAGGTGAGATATAGAAACCTAATTTATTGCATTATCCCTACGTAGGTAGTTTTTAGAGTCACTCATTTGCGAACTGAGGAAAACGCCGAAAGCAGTCCAAAATATTATTTGCATTCCTCGAGTTACTGGGCGCGAGTTGATGCTACCATCACTGACGTCGTACAACTGACCGACTAAGAGAGAAGATGAAAGCAGGTTGCTAGCCAGCATAGTCAACAATCATATTCGACATGGCAGGTACCATAAGAAGGCACATGGTGATCTGATCATAATGTCAGTGAGTGAGAACAACGACAGACACATGAAGCATATTAGTAGCTGATCGGTTGTTGCGCTCAGTCTTCTGGGTACAGATACAACAACCCTCCTTCCTGCTTTCAGTTTTGTTTCAAAAGTCGCCTGTTATTAATGACGAGTGTTAATCTGTATTCTTTTGATCGAGGTTTTCAATTCCGTGGATTTGAAAGCATGTTGAATGAGCTGGGCAAAAGTTTGACTGTGGCTGCCTCGCCAGATGGCAATGTAAAGTGGCCAAGTTTATTATTGATTAGTAGTTGACTCAATTCCTCCATATTTTCGCTAGTCTGTCTGAATTTAGGACGCAGATGATGAATGTGTTGTACCACCTTGTAGCTTCCTCTACCGATCTCATACACTACGCTACTTCTGGTCTCTATTATTTCTCCGGCTTGTCGATGAGATTACTCACCATCTTTGAACTATCTGAGAAGACTGCATCGCCTCTTTGTTGCTGGATTGAGACTCTATACTGAAGTTCCTGCCCCACTTACATGCATTCAAAATTACAGCTTCTAGAACTGGTAGGCGTTTTCTATCGAGAAGTGCTTTCGCAGATAACATGGGGTTTTTAGTTATGTTCTCGGCTATGATGTTTGCTGATAAGCCTTTCCTGAAGTGATTGTCTGATGTGATCCCTCCTTATAAAATTAATAGGTCTCTTCCGAGCTTTTTCTCGAAGCTTTCAGCCGGATAATTAGACTGAGCATAAGTCAATGGTAGACCAATATGACGCATTCCACTGACTTTTAAGAAATCTGCAAAAGCACGAGATGCGAACTGAGTACTATTTCCAGAAACCATAGTTCATGTTATGCCAAACTGACCAAACGATTCAGACAGCTTGTATATGGTCATTATGGAAGTAGTTCTCTCCCTGACGATAATGGGCATCTACGACTACAAGGGAGATAAGATTCTTATGCTATCCCACATAGTTAAAATGAATTCTCGACCATGGTCTTAATGCTAGGTGTCTGATTATATTGCATTTATACTTCATCAATTCGAAGCTGAGAAAGTGTGGATATTGTGCCTTAGTCATCGATATTATTTATATGTAACTCTTTCTTTCTCTTTCTCTTCTTGTAGCCATCTTCTTTACTTGTCATTAACACGTCAATAATATGGATGGAATCATTGGTTTCAGTTTCATGGGTGAAGTAGGCTAACAGATGTAGGCTACTGAAAAGATTTAAAGTCTGATCAGCAGTGCATAGGCACTTATCATGACTGAAGAAGTGTCATTCGCATAACAACAGCACAATTCCATTTTGGCAGCTCCATCTTTCCTAGGACCATTTTTTCAATTTTCGGGTGAAATAAGTCTTCAAAAACAGGGCCTAATGGGGACCTCATAGACATTCCACCAACCTGCCTGCAGATATTACTACTGAGAATGAACAGCATACTCAGTGCGCACGCCAGCAATAATCCTTTCAAATTGACAGCTGGAATATCTACTGGACAGACATTTGTCAGAGTCATTATGCGGGAAAGTTTTAATTTGATCCCACCGTGTTTGCCTAGTGAAAATAAGACTTGTCTAAAAGCCTTGTCGTGTACTGTGTTCTTTCTTGGTCGCATTTTTATTAGCATATAACAAGTGCGCACAATTAACGTTTGACCTTTTCATGTGTCAGGTTTGCAAGAAATAGGGAAATGGCTCTTGTCGGTCGGCTGAAACTAAGTCGTTTCACGTCAGACATAACTATTCGAGAAAGTCATGGTGTCTTTGGGATAACGTAGTTCCAAAGATTGGCATGGAAGTTTTGTCTGACCTTTTCAAGCATACAATCAAGAAGAAAGCAAAAGGTCACGTGAAAGTTGGGTTTCCATTTAGGAATTGAAGAGACATCTTCGTGTCAGCTACCCGAAAAAGCTCTGATAGGTCCACCACACCACGTGTTTTAGACATAACGTTGGTTTAAGTTGAATCTTCAAGGCTTTGTCTGTTTACAGAATCCATCAGTGATTGCTACCGACAATTATTAGCCACTACTATTTTTTCACTCAGAGCGAACAGCAGTCAGGCTTTATTTACTCATTTAATTTATTGCGCAATGAATTTGTGGGCCAAAAAAATTCCAATTCCTTTCTGCTTTAGGAAGAATAATAGATTACTGTTTGTTTAGGCGTAGTCAAGGTCAGGCGGTAATCTTATGGCGGCTGTATCTATTCTTTGAGGAATGGGCTGCAAATAACGTTATTTGTGACGTAACGTTTGTGGCTGAGGTAGTGTAGTCACTTTTGTTAGCATAATGCATCAAAAGACATTTTAAATTAAATCTAAAACACGTTTGGAAACGTGATTTATATTTACTGTTTACTGTATTCACTCAGCTATAGCTGTTTATTTACTTCAGGTGCTTGAGTAATCGAAAACACACTACTGGGAGAAATAAAATTCTGACTTGATCGAGGCTGAGGTTCTTATAGTTGATAGTTACAACATATTTACATGTCAAAGGTTTCAATTCTCAATTTTAACCATGACGCCCATGTTTTATCCTCCGGTTGTACATTTTTGTACGTTAACTGGAAAAATGCTTGGTTCTCACAATTAAACAATCACTTCCCATACAACGTCAGTGTCATACTTTTCGTGGCTGGTGGTCTTTTTATTCGTTACGAGATTAAACTTCTACGTTCGCCTGGATTTGTAAACAGGGAACGAAGCTACGCAGCTTCGTACAAGCTTGTGATGGTACATCAACCTCATATAGACTACTGTACTGGTCTTTAAGCCGTACAGCATGTGGTGGCTAATGATACAACTTAGGCTGCAGAGGGGCGGAGTCTGAACTCTAGACATTCTGTTCAAAATTCATTTGCCTTAGCTAATAAAACGACAGTTCGCTCTCTGCCCCTAACTAGTTCAAATATTTGAGGACCTTGAATACTACTGTTACGTATGTAAAAGAAAATCTGGGTTTAAGACTCTTTTGAGTTAATTCAAGAGTGCCTACCCGAACTGCAGTTCTGTATTATTACCAAAGTTTGGAGGACCAGGTTGGAGACAACTGAAAGATAACTGGACAAGCAATTGCACTTCCACACTGTAGGCAGTGAGCCACCTATTTCGGGAGTTTGTCACACTACTTTTCTGCCCAAGCACCAGTAAGTGGAGTGAGCTTCGAACCCATAATTCACTTGAAAATCAGCTGTCTAGACCAATGAGCCGTAGTGCGAGATAGGTTTGGTTATTGTTCCAATGCGAACGTATATGTAATTCCTGAGTTGCACACGATTGTCCCGACCGATAGCTTCTACCTTGATGTAGTTGTCAGGCAACAGTCCAACGAACTATCCTGATGCAACGCTTGTTCTCTGAAGGTCGTAACATATCCGGAAGCTTGGTTAGACTAAAGTACTTACCATCATAGTGTAAATTGCTACGCTATGATGGGGCCCTGAAGGAGAAGTTGTATGGCTGCCTGGACAGAAGTGTGACACCAGTAGTGTTTCCCTCGGATGACCGGTAGTACCGAGCTGCTGCTATCTGTCCAGTAGGAAGGGTTGGTTAGAAAAAGTCGGAATAGCAAACTGTTTTCTACTCTGTGGCATATCGACACCGGTGGTATGCGTTCGTAGTCAAAGAAAAAAACTAAAATTATAAATAAGCAATGTGTTCATCAGCTTCACGGTCGCACACCTAACCTTCTCCAGCGACCTCAAGGAATTAGCCTTCCACGGTGTGTGCAGCGGGGAAGTGTCAACCGTTCTCACAACTCTGTCAGCACTCAAGTCACCTCCAACCGCTACCCACCTTACACATCCTTAAATTTTAATCTTCACGTGCCCTAGTCAATAATTCTACATCCACTTTAATTTCTTCCAGCTCTTGATAACGGTGAATCCACGTAACAGCACCACTAGTCTACCGAAACCGAGCTCCAAACTACAAATTGGACCTTTCAGTGTCCGCACCATTCGTCAACTCGACCAAGTTTCACTAGCCAAAACTCTAGCATCTCGAACCATAGATGTATGGCGTTATTGTGAGATACTCATACGAGACCCAAGTGCGGTTATTCACTTGACTTCACCTGGTCAATATGATGAATCCACACAATTCCTCCTTTTGGGACAAGATTGTTCATGTGGCTTTGGGGTGTAGATATAGCATTAAGTGCTAACGTACGAAGTTCACTACCTGACTGGACCCTAGTTGACAGTCACCTATGCGCCAATTGACTGTACGGCACAGCGAGGACTGAAAAGAATAGGGGAACTCGTCGTTTTCTCTTCGTTTTTCCTACTTACCTACTCACAGACTGCAAACGGGTGAGTTCTATTGAAAACCGTCAAACCCACTGAAAGCCGAACGTTCAGATGCAGTCGTTTCAGATTATTTCAGTGCACAAGTGAGCAGATTGAATCAGACAGAAGGGCATTTAGATGGCGCTATTGATATCCCTGCTGAACGGACTGAAAACTGAAATCACTTTTTTGTTCAACTGTGCTCAGACAACCATTTATTTTTGACCACCACAAACTTCAGACATAAAGAGAAAAATTGTCTGACATTGCATCCTTCAAACTCAACTCAGCAGAGGACAGTGTTGGACCACTTTGCTATCAGTTATTGCTAGAGTCGGTAGAAGATTGTCGCTCCTTCTGTAACACTTGTTTGGATAGTGTCCGCGCTTTGGTTTGAGCACATGTATCCGCTTGACCACTGCGAGTGCAGCTTGGCAATGAGAACACTAAGGCTGAGTCCAGTAAGAAACCAACTCTACAGCTGGCAGAACAAAACAACACCCATTCAAAAAAAGCCTGGAGACATCTCCAGTCTGCCATAAAGACAGCGTCGAAAACCGCAGTCTATTGCCATAGTGTTGTTATTTAGGGCCAGTGGGTCTCAGCAAATTCTCCTGAATTAATAGATACTCACGAACGCACCCCTGCAGGCTTACAGTACTATAAGAAATGAGAGCAACTCAAATGTAGACTGACTAGGCATTTACACAACGACCGTGAAAGTGGTAGCTTGTGAAGGCTGAAGAGATGAAAAAGACGGTGTTAAGTGTCAGTAGTCAGTTATTTATATACAAGGAAACTGGGTCGAAATGGTCAGTGGTAAGCAAGACTGTCGAGGAGAAAGATAGGTCTGTGATTCACTCTCAGGGGTGACGATTAAAACGACGGACAGAGAACAGTTTGGCTCGTCCTTAGCTACTATCCTGTTGCCCGCCATTTAGTCGTATCTTGAATAAAACATCGAGATAAGACCCCAATACTCACAGAAGTCGAGAACGCTGTAGGTAACCTGGAGCCAGCTAGAGCACCAGGACCAAAGGGACCAGTACAGGAAGTATTTAAGGACTGTGGTAGTGGACTATTGGTGATTACTGGATTATTGGATTACTGGTGTCAACTAGTGTATTGGGGTCATATATGATCCTCTCTGACTAGTCTCAATCACTGGTCGTCCCAGTTTTCAAGAAAGGTGTGATATCCTCCTGTGATAACTACAGAAAAATTAGCCTGACAAACCTAGTGCCTAGGATTCCAAGTTCTGTTGTCGTTAAATGTCTCAGTGGACCTCAGCAACAGAAAACCCTAGGAAACTAGGCCGGTTTTAGACCTAGCCATGGGTGTGTCCACCAGATACTTACCGACGCTTAAAACTGGCCATATTTCTCGACATGGAGGTGGTAGCATTCGATTCTGTCCATTGAGAGGTCTAATGGCAGTGTTTCTCACTGAAAAGGGTGCCGAGTAAGTGCATCACCATATTGAAGGCTGTAAACTCGAACACCCGTGGATGTGTTAGACCCCATGATGAGATATCGGATTAGCTGTGTACGTCGACCAGTATTCACGAAAGATGTCCACTCTTTCCATTCTTACTCAACTTTATCATGACGTCCTTATGGTTGTGTTGTCTTCTGACTCCATGGGGATTGGTCTTTTAGCAGGAGAATTCTTGGCAGATCTAGAGTACGCAGATGACAATCCTATTTGGGGAAGACGCTGATAAGATGATGAGTCTTCTGGACATCTTGAGTGGCAGTCTGAGAATGGGATGCTACCCAAATTCAAATTACTGCTCCAGTACTGGTCTTCAGTGGTACCCTGTCTAACAATAAAGAGTTAGATGGTTGAGCGCATTGACCACTCCAGTCATCTGGGAAGTCAAAACAACTGTAGTTGGTCAGAGACCGACGAAATCTCTACAGGAATACGAAATTCATGCTTGGGATTCTCCAACGTACTCCATTTATGGTGCAACCGTGAAATCCTATTGCGGATTAAAAATTGAGTGCAATGGACTGCATTTTGTTCTGTTCTACTGTGTGGCAGGAAACATAATGATGGAAGGTGTAGGGCATGAGGAGGCTTAAGGTATTTGATCGCTGTTGCCTTCGTGGCATGCACTGTATGTATTGGCGTCACCACATGGGTAACGTAGAAGCCGGGAGTTGAATTCTAAGGAGAAAGGGAAAGTCAATTGATGACGTGAACCTTCATCTGCTCAGATGGCTTGGGTATGTGTTATATGCAGGCCTAGTCACCGTCCGCCTCGTCGCACAGTGTTATCTGAAGTAAGTTGAGGTCGGGAAAACGTTAGAAGTGGTCAGGCTAAAACACGGTATCAATGGATCAAATCATTGACTATTAGTCTGAAGCGTGTAGGAAAGTGTAGGCTTTCCGGCTGGGATCAGCATGACAACAGAAACCAGTAGTTGGAGACTGTCGATGACATGGTCTAGAATCACTATAAGTGGTGCAAATGTATCCACATAATTTCCTCATCTTAGTCGTCATACTGAATTCAGTTTTCTGTTATTCCTCCTTGTTATCTTATCACGATTTTCTACCGCTTTTCACTGCCTTCTTCTCTATTTCTTTATCTTTCATCCTAGGGCTTTGTCTCTTGATGTACTGATATGTGGCGTAGCAGCTTGTGGCAATAATGCCTGGTCCTATATTGATGTTGATGATGACATAGCAGTTGTCACTGCAGTCGATGTACATGTGGATACCGAGTAAAGTCAGAAATTTAATGAAGTAAACATATAACAACTGAAATGGCTGCTAATGTTGTGCATACTAAATCACAGCTTCCTTCAAAACCTGATGTTGGCTAAAGTAGGACTAGATTAAGAGAGTCCTGAACATAGAATGAAACAACGATGAAGTCTCTTACTGTCGGTTTGGTTTGTTCAGAAAGTTGTAAGCTGATTGGCTAGCGTTCTCGAGGTGACAATAAAATGATTGGAGACTGTCAGTAATGTGGCGCAGAATTGGCCACAGTAACACCGTTTATTTAGTATTTAGTATCACCTTCCTTTACTGTTCTGTTTTGAAGTGTAATAACGTCAGAGAACTTAATTTCATCAGGTTCTGAGCTGTGTTTTCTTACCTCCTCAATCGACACCACCAATCATATCCAGTGTTGTCGCATTTGTTTGCCAAGACGTTTCATGTGCTTGTTAATAGAACCAACACCACAGCAGTATATTTTAGAGGGATTTGATCTTTTTAGTTGGGTTTTTGTAAACAGTTCCACCGATGGTAGAGAAATTCACATCTCTGATGTTTGATACCAACATTATGCAGTTAATTACCACTAGGTTATGGTGCTTTTTCGTGTGTGACTACACATTACTTGTGATGGGATTTTGCACCTCTATAGCAGTAACTATTCTTGGGTTAATTATGCTAGTTATTCTTCTTGGGATCGTTTAATGTGGCTGAATAAGTAATTAAATCAGTAAGCCAATCATAAACAGACAAAAGTGAAACCTTTTCTAGGAGTAAGACAGTCCAGGTTGTCACTCTACAACATAAAAAGAAACGGAAGGAAGGATACAACATGCACTGATAAAGAAATGGATAGAAAGTAGCAAGGATATAAGGAATAAAAAACAGAGGGAAGCCATGTCATTGTAATCACATATGAACCACGTCACATGTATTCTCTAACTATTGGTTCATGGAGTCCATGGACGTTAATTGGTGCACTACACTACCCTTTACAGCTCAGATTGGCGGTTAGTGGCCTTATGAATTGAAGCCCGTATCTGTGGTCACTAAATTCAAAATTAGGGGAGGATCGCAAATGTTATGAAACATTGCTTCGGAGTCGTATGTGAGAGAAGAAATCAATTTCAAATAAATATTGTAAAACAATCAAGATTTACCTAAGAAGGATAAGAAAACCTATGTAGTCAATTTATTTTTCATGCAAAGGTGCGAGCTGTCAGAATGCGGTCTGGAGAAAATAGTTTTTTTTAGTAAAAAGTATTAAGCGTCACAGGTCAAAATTATCCGAGATGTTGTATTTGTTGCAGTACTCGTGCAAAGGTAAATCAGCAGCATTCGGTTTTCTGGAACTTTTTCAATCTTATTCTTCGTGTTGATAGGTGTAGTTACTGAATTATACATTTAAGTTGATTTTACTGATCTTGATCGACCTGAGGTGCATAATATATTCTACATATGCACTCATTAGGATTTTAATCTGTTATTTCCAATTTACGTGTAAAATACCCCCAGTTGATCTAGTAATCTACCAACAACACAAAGTTACAGATATAGGAAAGCACTTCAGTACGTAAGCAGAAAAAAAAATTTGTTATTGGTAGTTTTTGATGTAGATTTTCCTCTTGGTGTTTTTCTATGTATTATAGATTATTTCTATTCCTTTTTTCAGATTTCCATATTGAACTGGTGGATAATTAATTTGTTCCACTCGTCCATCCACTTTTTCTCCACTGAAATATATTTGTCGAACAGAAATTATAAGATCAAAATCTTGTCTACTGTCATACCTGCATATTTTATAAAGCCGGTCAAAGTTTCTAAAATGGGTTTTAGTTATCTCGAGGCATAAATATGCCCATTTTTCACCATGATGAATGATTCACCAAATCACAACACTTTAGTGGGTCGGAATTCCGAGTTAACACCCAGCGCAATGCGTGATAACAACCTACGTGTACTAAGCCATTGTGCTGCTAGCTCAGTTACTCACAGCCACGAAAACCATCTGAATCACTTGTCAAACTCTTCGAATCACAATTTTCTCTGCTCCGAAAATGGTTTCAACAAATCTCTTTCTACTTTTTCTACCTGTTCCATTGACTCCTGTTTCCCTAGTCTCAACGTTTCAATGGAGCAAAACTTAGCTACGGATTATTCGCAGTGTCATTCTTGTGGTAGCTCTCCACCACCTCCAGCATTATCCCCTGTTAGCTCCTCACCAACACATGGGAGCAACAATCCGAACAATCAACCATCCTCTCCATCTCCTCCGATCATTGTCGCTGAAATTCGAGGTCCTTCATCCATTTCATCCCTTTCAGCTTCCGAGAAAAGTTCTCATGTCAGGGGTGCATTCAAAATGATCAATCAGCATGCATCTCAGATCCGTAATAGACCACCGAACTCTGGTTGCCCGCGAATAATAAGCGACATATCTATATCTAGTTCGAGCAGTTCATCTTCGTCTACGTCTTCTTCGTCAATTCTGAATGAAACCAACCATGCTGCTAATGGTCTACCAATCCTTGAGAAAATTTCAATCGTTCTTGGTTCACCTAAAAGACAGGTTGGTGAAAATTCCGTGGTTCGCAACAGCAACACTGATTCACCTCTGAAAACTGAGGAACCGAAGATTCCGCAGTTGGTCTTAGAAAATCGCATATACTCACCAAACAACCGGGAAAAATTCTCAGAAAAGTTGGATGACCCCGTTAAAGTTAGCTCCTTTGTTACGAATGAAGATACTAATCAAAATGTAGTAAATGCTAAGCCAAAAGTGGCAACTAAACGAAAAGCACAAACTCGCTCAAGGCGTCGACCTAAATCGAAGAAAGTTCGAGGTGACTCAGATTCCGACTTCGAGCCATTTTCTCAGTCCCAAACAAATGGATCTCGTGGAAGAGCCGATGCTAGGGCTGTAATTCGTCGAGTTCAACAAAAAGTTCATAATAAAAGGTGAGTTGTTTTTGTTTAGGCATTGCATTTTGTACAAACGTATGACATGAAGGTCAAACACTTATGTAATGAGTTTTCCTCACTGGAATATATAAATTACCGTATGTCGCCTGTTAGTTCCCAAGGTAAGTACATTCCGAATGCTCAAAGTCTATCACTCATTGATATTTATGCCTTCCTGTTGATTTTTATGTTAGACAGAATCAATCAGTTTGTTGATTGACCTACGGGCTCTGATGTGGATGCCTCAATATAGCGTATGTCAATTCCTATCTGTTATCAATGACCTTCAAAGTTTTATACACCATTCATTGATTACCTGTTGATTGTCTCACTGGACTACCACCAGTCAAGTTACGTCACACTATTGGAAATATCGAGGCATCTGCATGGAAGCTCGTTTGTTAATCAACAGAGACCGACCAATTGGGTCCAACATAACGGTCTACAGGAGGGCACAGGAGTCAATAATTAGCAACATACCAATTAGACGAGAAGTGGCTGTCGTAAATCAGTAACCTAGTGGATAACCCTCTGGTGTTTGAAGCGACGGGTGCTTGGTCTGAGTCTCAGTGGGAAAAACACACTGGTGCAGATACATCCAACTGATGAATTTCAAATGGGAAGAAACGTGTGTCCGGAATTCCACTGCTAACCACCACAAATCCAGTCACACATAAAGTTTATGTGATTTGTACATACAACTGGAATTTCGCGTGTTATTCAACCCGTATTTATATCTGAATGATATGTAAATTTTGATTAAACTGGTTTGTAATTTATGTGTAGAGACCTTATGTATCTTAGTAAATTCCAATTAAAAAGGGGATGAATTAAGAGGTTTGCTGATTAGTAGCTCTATGAAAATGATTTTACTTGTCAGTGGTTTTTTGTGTGACCAGTACTTGTGATCATGGTTAGGAGTTGTTCGTAAGATGGAGTGTGTGAAACGGGGAGCAAATTCTTGATGTAATAATCACATTCATATTTCTATACTGAATACCAGTAACTGCATATTTGACATAAACTTTATCTTGAAAATTCATTGGACTAAGTTGTTGCTACATTTAAAACCATAAGTGGAAAACAAAAGAAAGTACTTGGTATTGCTAGTAATAACAATACTGAGGTGAAAAGTAGGAAATCAGAAAGGACAGGTGTTTACTGTCCAAAGCTAATTGAAAGTTGAATCCATTTTTCGAATTGTATCCGGCTTTAAAGAACATTTTTCAACGTAACCAGACGTTTTCAGTGTCTTATCTACCCTGTCAGTTTGGCATAACCTGTATCTGCAGTCTGAAAGCGTATAGATTTGTCTTTAGGTTTACAACTGCCATTTTGAGGTTTCCATTGTAGTCAGCGTACCAAAGTAAGGTAACGTTTGATATTTGATGTATAATGCATGCCAGAAATACTTAATTTGGTACGTATTTACAGCCTTATTCATTGATTTCTTCTTAATTAAACTACGCTTCAGCTCTGAGTGACTGGTTTGAATCTCTCAATTAACTTCAACTTTCTCAGAATTATGAACACTTTTTTCTGATCAGTGTTAACAAACAGTCAACCTAGATCCAAGAATATATAATCGGTTAACCCCTAATATATCACAGCACCCTTTCGAAAATTAACTTGGGAAAGTAGGACTTAGATGTCGTTTGAAAGTATAATTCCCCTTACATTTCTGTGTTTGATGTCACCTGCAGCGTTATTAATTGGTTTAGTTTTTGAATAGTTTATCATCCATAACCACACCACTTTAATTATGGTGCCAGAATAATATAGTACCATTTTTAACTGATACTTTATTTAGTTGCTCATAAGGTGTAGTGAAATCTCTAACTCACCTCACACTTGACGATTAGGTAAGCAAAGAAACGCTATGATAATCAGAAATCTGAATCATCTCGGGCTTAAACTGTTATGTTATCCCTGTAAGGTCTACAGAGATGTTAGTTTTAACGGAAAAGTTTCAAGTTGTGGACATTGTATTGTTTATTGAACTCAAATGGAAACCAGTAAGAAACTGAAAAGCATCTGTTTGGTATTTTCATTCGTGTACAATTCAACTAATATATAAATCTGTTGTTCATTAGTTTCGTTATTCGAGTTTTAAAAAATGAATTCAAAATTTGAAGTCTGCTTCATCCACTGGAGTTCAAGTGACTAGCTGATAAACAGTAAATCAGGTGCACATTGTATTACACACATTTGTACTTAGCAGTTTAGGTAACCTTCAAAAAATTTTACTTTATATGAAGAGAATAATCGATGTAAGTTATTCAGCTTGAGAAAGAGATTGTGCTGTTTTTGAATTTAGTGGCTATATTTTACTTAAATGCTACTCTCCTTACCTCGACTTTCCTACTTTTTGACTGTCAAACCATGTCTACGAGCTTAATAATATAGAACAGATTCAACGTCTGTTGAGACTTGTCGTCATCGTCTTAGCTGTATCTAACATGTACAGGTGGTTAATATATCCAAATGGTGACGTTTGTCTTGTCACTTCCATTTTTCTACAACCCACTGAAGAGATTATAGGATAACAGGCTTCACATGATTTTGTCGATATTTCTGCACTCTACCCATATATATGGTCAGGTGATGTACACATTTTTTTTCAGGTGATCTCGTTCTGTTTACTCTAACATTAACTTGACGCTACATTTTATTTAGTTCTGGGCAATGTAAGAGTATCTGCGTCCTCAAATACTTATGATACTGTGATTTCTCTTTTTGTGTAGTACTGTTTTGATAAGTAGAATACAAGTATATCGTTTCGCAATATCTTAAAGTTACTTTGTTTCCAACTCTTTAGATCCGTTGGCTGTGTTTCTTCAGATCCTGTTGGTGGTTCTACTGCAGATATTGCAATTCGTCGAAAGTATTTGGAATCACCTTTCTTGTGCCTTTGTCAGGGGGGGAGGACAGTTTCCAGTCTTATGAAAACTACAGATGATGTCACTAAATACACATGTATTCCATCCGGATCAAAGACAAATTCTAACATCACGACCATTGATAATGAATCAGTGGATTTGAATTCGTCTTTCTCCGCCCATATAATCAATCCTGCCTTACGCGACTTATCTATCCAACAATTTGGTAGTAATGGCCCCTCATATGGTTGCATTCCGGTCAGTTGTCCATTTAAAGTTACTCTGAGTGGAAGTGAACCAATGAAGGTTGATAAAAATGACATGGGAGTTGAATCTCGTAGTATCCTAGCAGGTATGAGCATTTTTATTTCTTTTTCATACACTCGATGGTTCTTCTCCAAATTGAAACTTATCGAGATTTTTTCATCTTAGGTATTACATACAGACCATCAGGCCCTCTTCGAGCTCGTGACTATCAGTTTCCTGCATCGATGAATCCCAAAAGTTTCTGGATATGTGCATTCTGTGGTGAGGATAACAACTATACAGAACTTGGCTTTTTATATGGTCCTTACTGGCTCACAGAAGCTGATATGAAACTATTGCCTGTAGAACTTACCTACGGTTCTACGGATGAATATCAGCCTCCTGATGCAGAGACTCAGGCTACCAAGCCAACGGTTCCTGTATCCAGACGTGCGAGAAGTATAGAAAAAGCTATCCGCTCTGGTGTTATCACATCCACGACTACGCGGTCTGCTGCAGCTGAAGGGCGTCCCACGGTTGCAAATACTGGTGTTCTTCGCCTGGTCATCAAAGCCTCAAATACTCAATCCTTGTCAGCGAAATCTCCTGAAGAGTCTAAGGGCGCAAAAGAGGTCACCTGCTGTAAACCCAGAATAGGATCAAATGGTGAAGTATGGTTCCATTTTGAATGTGTTCTTTGGGCTCCTGGTACTTATTTAAACGGGAACGGTATCGTTGGTGGGCTCGGAGAAGCGTTGCAACTAGCTCTCAATGCAGTGAGTTCACACATTTTATAATTTTGTTTTGCGTCTTACCAAGTATATTTATTGAACAACTAAGTGGTATCTTCTGCTCTTACATGTGTGACACTTCTACGCAAAACAGCAAATACTTTTACAAATAGTTATCAACTTAAAATAACAAAGTTATGCGTTCATAGTTGTGTTACAGATATGCCATTTAACTCGTAAAGCAACGATTCCATACACAGTACTTATCGATTTCGCAAATTATTGTCAAGTCTGATCCATTTCAGGATATATTTACTCGCTTAGTTGTTTAAGAAGTCTGAACGAAACGTACTCAACAACCTTGTGTACATCCATGCATTTGGTAATGAGCCATACCTTTTGTGTGAGGGCTAGTAATACTACCTGGTTGCCCAAACCTTGGTAGGTGGAGCGGGGTTTGAACCCGTGACTTACTGGTTCATAGTTACCTCCCTAAACCATTGAGTCACAGCTCCACTTTACGAAGTCTGGGTAAAAACAAACGGTCAATGAAAACCACCCCATATCTTTTTTAACCGTTTTTTAGCTAGCATCAATTTAAATTTTACCCATCGAACTGTAAATCAATGTCGATTAGAGATATGGTAGAAACGCAGTCTATTATTGCCATCTATCAAGAACTATATTTTATAGTTGTAAAGTTGATGAAATCTAACTCCTATGTACGTTGATTGTGATCAACAACTGGATTCACCTATGATATCACATGTGTAGCAATCTGTTGAGTGTTAACGAGGTCACATTTTCACTAAAATTCTAGGGAAAATCAGCGCAATCACCCTAATATAACACCTTTGTGTAATCGTTTAATACTTATAACAAGTCTATTGGCATGAGTTATCTATAACTAACAGGATTTTGTCGTCATTTGGATTCGATGTGCTAAAGGGTATACTATAAAGAATCGACTTGTAACAATGTGTCGTTTTCCCAGATTTTACCCTGCTTATATAGGCAGATAGACAAACAAAATCAACATATAACATTGATTCATGCTACCATAATTCACAGTAGCAGGTAAAGAATAAGTGGGTAGAGAAAGAGTGATACCAAAAGAGATAAAGGTGTAAGAGGGTAGGGAGACTTTGCAAATCAAGGTTGGTGGAAATGTTCAAGCTTTATGAGATGTTAACGAGTGAGTACATCTGTGCCATTGGGAGCGATTTTCAGCTATGTTACTAGAAGTCTCCAACCATTCACTTCTAGTTACTCGAGAAACCTAGTTAAGCAATCAACACCTCCCTACACGACCCAAACCAACAGTGAGAGACTTTATGAACTGGTGCCACTTTTTTGTCTGACCACTCTTAGCCTTTTTCCAACTTAATTCTACTTCAACTAACACTGGACGTCAAGAGAGGTGATGGCCTGGTGTGCGCAAAGCATGTCTAGTCCACCTTATTCAGGTATTGCTGTTCTCAAGTTCCAGTTAGTCGTCAGATAACTATGAATAGTAAGATTTAGATACAGTGTTAGTTAAACTAATCACCTTATGTTTGTCACAAGAAAACTTCTTTCTTATAAACTGGTACGTTTAGCGATCTAGACCAGTCTTACGGGACTACTTCCGGTTCCTTAACACTACCTAGTACCTCCCTTCATGCACTCAGTAATTTCTCCTTCTCCCTTTGAAAATTACTTATGGAAAGCCGTTACTTTGCATCACTTTAAGTTGATACTTTCTCCACTAGACCTGAGGGTCTCGAGTTCGATCCCTACAGGTGTTGTTGTGAATGCGTACTCCTGAAGAGTCTTATACTAAGAAAAAACAGCTGCTTAAGGCTCTTGGGTTTTCAATAGTTCTCCAACTGATGCCATTTTGGGGTGGATACTACCTTGGAAATAAAATCCCCATAAACCTCATTGTATATTAGTTAATAAGTAGCAAGAGTAGCTTTTTTTCATTTACTTTCACCACCCTTACATCAACAACAGCTTAACCTGAATTGATTTGGTATATTATTATTATCATTATTATCAATATTATTATTATTATTATTATTATTATTATTATTATTATTATTATTATTATTATTATTACTATTCATCTCTACTCGGTTCTGGTAATACAGTAGAAATTTAACTCATCTTTATGCACTTATGTTCTTTTGTGCGTGTAAATACAGTTACTTAGTGACTGCGATGTTATCTGTGACCTTCTTGCTGTATTTCAAGGGAAAAAGACTTGAATAACAACCCATGCATAACTAGTAATCATAGTTTAAAAACAATGGTTGTTTAGATAGGATTGGACAAGGAGATTCGATATGCCTTTATATATATACAACTCGTGGATTGACCGAAGTAGGAAGCTGGACCATTGAACTCCAACCCAGTGGCTAAGAATGATTGACGCATTCGACGTGAGACATGAAGGTTCTGAGTCTGATGTCCGGCAGGGTGGTCGGTGTATACTCCTGAGGAGTCCCATACCAGGACGAAACAGCTGTCCAGTGGTCTCCCAACTGATGTCATTCCATTATGAAAACAACCTCATATATATATATATATATATATATATATATATATATATATATGATATTTTAATTCCGATTATATCCGCAAAGAAGCTCAGCCCAGACTTTCGTTCAAAATCTTGAAGTCATTTTAAACGTTTTGAAATTCATACACGTACTTAATGTTAACTTTTCACTCAACATCCAATATTTATAATACTGTTAGATCAGGTCTTCATCGTAATTCACATAAATTTCTGTTTTTTGTTGTTATTGTTGTCTTAGGTGATGAACTTTTTTGTTTTACTGACTTCATCTTTTCCCTTCGGTGTTTTAGAATTGTTCATATTGTCACAAACCTGGCGCGATTTTGAGTTGTTGTAATCGAGGATGTAATCTAAGTTATCATTATCAATGTGCACATAAAGCTGGTAAGTTGACCTAACTGTAGACAATCATAGAACATTGATAACATTATTAGTATCTTTGCCGAGACTTTGTTCATTTTGACAGCGTAATTATAATAAATAAGAAAATTATCTGAAACACGTGATGTATTAGCGCTTTACATTTCGGATAACCTGATAAATCATGAAATTGTCGAATTATTTATAGGAAAATCCAAAGAGAGTCATTTAAATCAATAGGGAAAATAAAAATAAGAAAGGCAAAACAAACAACAAATCACGCTGCCCTTGATATGAAAATAAAATCAGTACTACCAAGGTAGGTTCAAATTGTTTTCGGTTATATATCTCTTAGTCGACTAGTGGATGACTGGATCAGAAGATCGATCTATAGACAGCGGACACAAGCAGAGGAATATCTTAGTTACTATAGTTCCAGTTCACTCCAATATTGAAATGGTTTAAACTAAATATTTATTTTTCATAATGAATAGCATTTGCACCGATGATAAAGGAAGATAAAACCAAGCTGTTGACGGCAACACTGACCCGATTAAATTTATCGACGGATTTAGAAGTTGTATGGTATTCAGATATATTCAGTGTTCGGGCCTTGTGAGAAATGTCGATATCTTATCGCCATTTAAAAATGATTCGCAGCCTTATTGTGAAAAAATACCTGGGTCAGCCATTTTTCCAACTTTCTACGCTGCCAAAGTCATCATTGTAGAGAAAGCAAAGTTCATGTTGCAACATAATCAACTGCACCGCATCCCATTGTATTTGTCAGGTTATATGTATGTGAAGACAAGCATATATAGGGAGTAGTAATCGTGATGTCCCACTGAGGACAATTGAACATCTAACTAAAAGGCTTCAAAAACATGATCTGATGAGTTAGTAGTATTGTACCATTATGTAATCAATTTTATTCTCACATAGCAACAGGTTGTTAAGTCTGTCTATGCTCTAACCATCTGTAAATTTAATCCCCCTCCCACTTTGTACAGTCAAAGAGGCAATTTTTACCCACTTCGAACCGACCTTTGTATTATTATTTTTAATTTTTATAGTAGATAGATCAGCGTGGAACATGACACTAAAGTGCTTGAGTTCAAATCGCCATGCTTCTCAGCGTCATGCAAAAAGTGAATAGAAGAAGTCATATTACGGTAGACGAAAGTGGTTTGAGAACATGTGATACGATTCACTTTCTTTGTTTTGCCCTTTCTTCCTATTGATACAATCGACCCTTTTTTAGATTTTCGTATAAATATTTCGATAAGTTCATGATTGGTCAGATTGTGCAAAATGTCGATCTTTAAAACTCCACGTGTTTCAGATCATTTTCGTATTCAATTAGGAGGTTTGTAGGGATTTATTTGTTGGTTTTAGGTTCGTATCCATCATGAACTTTCATCAATCGGAAACATATTAGAAAAGTGGGAGTAATAGACAACTGTTTCGTCCTAGAATGAGACTCTTCAGCAGTATGCAACCGTGACCCCGCTAGAGGTCGACCTTAGGACCTTTACGTTCCTCGAGCAGCACGTACCCTTTAAGCCATTGGGTCAGAATCCAAGGGTCCATATTTCCTACCTCTGCCGGTATATCGTGAACTGACAGATGTTCAATACCACTTAAGATTGCCACATCAACTCTGTGCATTTACTGGATCCACTTGGTTATTTTAGGCAATGATCTGTTCATATGAGGATATCAATCGCGAAAAAGTTGAAATGAACCCATGATAGCCCAGTAGGTGATGAACCATGCCTGTTCTATAAGAGCTAATAATGCTACCTGTCTGTGAAACCTGGGTTAGTAGGGCAGGCTTCGAATCTGTAACCCGCTGGTTTCAAGTTAGGAAGTCGATTGTATAGATAAATGAACCATAGCCCCACATGAGAATATCAACAGTCTCCTGAATGCATTTAATCAGCCTTGATTCGGAAGGAACCTCCAGGATTCCACTGCTAGCCATGTCTAATACTCTATCGCAACATAATCCTCAGTGCAGATTACCAGTCCGATTAGTTCGGTCACTTAACACAATAACAGATTTTATGTTCAAATGAATTGCATACCTATTTATTGGAAGCAGTTATTTTAGTGTCTTGAGAAACTTAGCAAACCATCGTATCTTTGAGTGAGACTAGCTTTATATGAGTCATAGGTTAGTGATTCTACAGTGGAATTACGTGCAGTCGGTGAAAGAATAAAAATACGTCTAATTTTGTCACACTAACATATTTTGTAGACAAACAGTATTATCAGCATTGAAAAAGCTTCCGACAGTTTGTAAAATTTACCGTTTGCGATTTGGAAACTGAATGAAACTTATATTTCATTAGATTCTCATGACTTTTATGCATATAATCTTTATGAGTGTAAACCATTCTTTTCTAGTGGGTAAAGTGTTCAACCAACATCACCTACTGGGACATGGCCAGGTAGCTCATAGTTTAGCACCCATACGGTTTGTTGTATGAAAGTATACACCAAACAATAATACTGTACCTTTTGATGTCAACATTTTTACGAAGATGGTGATGGTTTCCTAGCTGGTGTATAGTAAAATAGAAAAGTTGCAGCGAGATGAAGTTATTTTCCGCACGTATTTATCTTGCTGACTAGCAGTAAAATTCAAGGCGCACACTCCCTCCTGTTTGATACTCATCAACCAGATGTACCTTTCAGCCTAGTGAGTGATGTTGTTCCCACTGAGACTCGAACTCAGTACCCATCACTTCAAACGCCAGAACGTTATCCTCTAGGACAAGAGAGCCACCTTTTGTGGAACGGGTATCAGATGTTGTTTATTGATATCTGTAATTTCCTGTTGCTATACAGGGTCGGATCGCTTGACTTCTACATTTTGTGATTTGTAATTTGCACATATTTATTAGCTGGATGAATCCTTAAAACATTGAATTAAACACGAATTTTGTACATTCCTTACTGGTTAGACTTACATTACGCAAAATGCACCATAATTTCTTGATATCAATCGTCTAGCCTGAGAGAACTGTTCTCTCTTTGTAGTGTATGCAGGTACCAGATAGCAGTTTTTGCTTCTGTGAGATGATCTTTTTTTAATCAGTTCACAAATATTATCCTGCTAATTAGGTAATTAACATCATTTTCTCAAATCCATTGATAAAACAGATAATAAACACTCCCTTTTGATAAGGTTATTAGAAGACGAAGACTATATGAAAAATGTAATGTTTTTTGCGTACTACATTTTGAACAGTTTGGTCACAGACGATCAATTTATAGAAAGGCCTACTTGGTCAGGACAGTACTTCAGTTTCTACAGCTTTTGTCCAATGAAATATAAGAGAGGCTCAGTAAGATGCTTATTTAATAGGATCCAACGTATATTTGTACATCTAATACAATGGATGATGAGAGGGAATGTCTGACAGACACTCATGAAAAATGGATATCCTTTACAGTTTCCGAACCGTTCTAGAAACGGCTGACGCCTAAGCCTATAGTTTCCTCCGTCCTGAAGAAGTATATTGTTTCTTAAAGTAACCGTACAGAGGCGAAACGAGTAGTATGGCATTAAAACAGATTAAAATCTTAGTTGGTTGGAGGCAATCGGCAGGAAGCTGATTGTTTCAAACTTTTGAAAAGAAGACTCCCTTTTGACTTAAATTTCATTGACGTTCTCACTTCAACATGGTGGGTACATACATACTTGAAGTAATTCCTATCCTCCTTACGTCGTTTTAAATGTACATCATTCAACATTGCTACTTGATGTCTATGTCAAATTGATTGTCTAACAGATTTCAGTTAACACTAAAGTTCGCTTTTCAGGTGCATAATTCTATAACCACAATCGAATTGTTTCGCCTAACCAATAAAGCTTTAGTTTAAGGGGTACTATAAAATTTTGATTAAAACCTCACGTTCAATTTGAATACCAAATGGCTTTAAGCGTCAGTGTTATCGGGTAACAACATCAGACTTTGTTGTGTCTAATTTTCGTGCTAAACTAGTGCATGTGTGTTTTTCTACTTTTTCAGAATGTCATTTGGATCGGGATCAGTATATCCTCTTGTGTAAAAAGCACCACATCTATTCATAAACAAAAAAAGTGATGTATTTCTTAGTTATTTTCAACTTTGGTTTATGTCCCCTATACTTATGCAAAATAATAGTCTTCACTACCTTTTCCCCTTGTAAAGATATACTATGAATGTACCATTATTTTTCTCTCTTCTTTTAAATCAGTACTTATCATAGAAAAACAAACACGCAGACAGATTTTGTTAAATCCTTTCCATTACTTTGAAAGATAATGATTGTACAGTTTCTTGATTCCTCCGCCCCCACTCACCCCACCCTCACCTACGCCCTGTTAGAGTTTAAGAGTATGTTGCAAACATTATGCATATAGGTGAATATAAAACGTCTTCATCAGCGCTGAAAATGCCTCTTCTTCTTCTTCCCCTATGAGTAAGCGTTCGAGTATCCATACATACATATAAAGAGGTGTTCATAGTTGTTCCCCTCCCCCTCCCCAACCTAAGTCACTTATGAAAAGTAGCCAAAATTTGCTTACAATTGCGTAGATGTTCTCAAGCTCTTGATTTAAAATAAATATCAAGTTTATTTTTTTTCTTTTATGTGCTTTTCTGTCTCATCGTTATTATTATGCTTTTTTCCACATACTTGTATATTATGAAGTACTCTATTCACTCATTTCTTATCAATAACTGTATAATTTTTGTCCTTAATTAATATTATTCCTTATTTTATGTGTATATGTGATCATGATGTGAATGAATACAATATTAGATTTTACTCTTTTGGCATTGTTTCGTTGTTGTTTTTCGAAAAAAACATTATTTTTTTCTCACTTGAAGCCTTTTGTGTAGTTTCTCAATATAGTGTTTGTCGTAAATCAATGTTTGACAAAAATTCAGGGTGTATTGAACTCTTCATCAATCTTTTTAGAAAAATTCATATGTAAGATAAGAACCAGAGGAGTTTCGCCACCGGGGGTTGCATTCAGCTAAAGATCACTGGTGTGTATATATATGACGAAAGTGATAAGTGAAGCAAGTGTTGTCATATCCCCTATTTATAATTAGCCCCTGACTTCAGTCAGCCTATTGCTTGCTTTCAACTCCAAGTATATATATATATATATATATATAATTCTCTTAGGTTTCTAGTGGAACATACGGCTTCAGTAGCACGTCTCCATTGCACTCTCTTCTCTGCAGTCTTTTCAACCTATCGCCACGACTGCCCACAAGCTTTCACTTCTTCTTCACATAATCTCCTCCATGTCACCCTCAGCTCGGACGCCCAACTCGTCGTTTCCCCTTTGTATTGTATTCCACTCGAGGGCCTAGCGCGTAATGTTCCCAATCGGTCTTCTCAGTGTATGCTCAATCCATCTCCACTTTCTTCTACATATTTGTTGGGTGATAGGTTCTTGGTTGGTTCGTTCCCAGAGTTCGTTGTTGCTTATTCTTTCTGGCCATCTGATCTTCAGTATGGAGCGAGTGTAAGCGGCAGCTGTTTATGAATGTGTGCAGTTTGTTGGAAATGCTTTTCGTGACACGCCAAGTTTCTGAACTATCACATAGCAGCACTGACTTGACTGAATTGGTGTTGAAAATCCGAATCTTCTTCACCCTTTGTGAGTACAGTAGATCTCCACAGTGATTTCGAATTCATGAAAGCCTGTCTTGCTTTTCCGATCCTGGCTTTCAACATCCTCGTCTATACCGCCGCCTGCAGTTGAAATGACGCTGCCTAGGTAGGTGAAAGACACTACTTCCCTTCGATTTCTCCCGTTGATGGTGATTGGTCCTTGTTGCTATTGTTGGTTGTGTATCTTCATCACCTCCGCCTTCTCTACGTTCACTTGAAGTCCCGTTTTCACTGCCCTGTCTCTTCTATCAACTTGTTGGTTTTTGCTTGTTGATCTTCGAGTTTGTGCGACGTTAGACATAGATCATCATCATTGGCAAAATCCAAATCTTCTAGGCTCTTTTAACTGATCAAACAGCGTATTCCCACCTTCTCGCTCCCCACTGTTTGCTGCATGACCCAGTCCACCACAATCAGGAAGATCATAGGTAATAGTAGGCAGCCTTGTCTTACTCCTGTCTTCACTTGAAATGCGTCACTGAGCTTTCCATTGCGAATCACTCGACATGCTGCGTCTTCATATAGTTTTGAATGAGGTTGATAAGGATTTGTGGCACTAAATCCGTAGTGTTGAGGCAGCTGCCTGTCAAATTACTTGTCGGTCGACGCTGTCAAAGGCCTTTTCAAAGTCGTTGAGTTGACTGCCATTATATACTCTGTTGTATGACGATGCGTAGTGTTGCATTGCAATTTGATCCGCGCATGATTTATTCTTCCCGAAGCCAGCCAGCCTGTTCCGCTAGTAATTTTGAATCCTTGCATCCTTTGGTCTCTCCAGGATGATGCAGTATAATATTTTGCCTGGGGTGGGTGGACAGAAGCGTGATTCCGCGCCAGCTCTTGCAAAGACTGAGGTCTCCCTTCTTTGGGAGTTTGACAAGGTAGCTCTTCTTCCAATCAACCAACAGGTACCTTTCCTTCCTTCCGAACCTTCTGCAGTAGTGGTGTGAGCATGTCTGCTGTTGTCTCTGCGTCTGTTTTCAGTGCTTCTGGAGGAATTCCATCTGTTCCTGCTGCTCTCCCGTATTCCAGCAACTTCATGGCATTCAGGACTTCTGATTTTGTCGTAGGGCCTGTGTTCACTTGTAGTTCTGCCGTTGCTGGTGGTATTTTCGGACGAGTTGCAGGTGGTGGTCGATTCAAGAGTTTTTTTGTTGTCAGCCCATCGTTTCGTTTCCTCTGTTTCTCCTCTTTGGTGTTAACTAGGTTTCCTTCACTATCTTCCATTGGTTTCGTCTGAGTTGATCTCTTCCCTCCCAGATAATAGCCTGGTTATTTGATATAGTGTTGTCAGGTCTCTGTCTCTCCTACCTGTAGCCTGTTCTGCTTCACTTGCCAATGTGTCGTAGAAGTGCTTTTTGTCCTCCCATGCACTCTTCTTCACTCCTTTGTCCAGTGTTTTATAGGTTGTGTTCAGTTCCTCTTTTCGTTGTTCATCCTTGCACTGGTTTATCTTCTGCTTCACCATCTTCCTCTCCCTGCTCTATCAGCTTCCATGTGTCCGTCGAGATCTATTCTTTGTCTTCTTTCTTCTTCCCTCCTAATACAGTTATGCAGGTTTCTTTCCACATCTCTTTCAAAGACTTCCAGTGTTCTTCCACGCAGATTCCTTCAGGGATGTTGCTCAATGTCTCCCCTTTCTTCCTGATACATGACGTAAACATACCTTTTGTAGTTTTGTCCTTCCGTTTCTGTTGTGGGTGTTGAACTTGAACTGTGGTCTATCGTCAGCAACTTCCTTGAAGGCTTTCAACTTGATTTTGAAGGTAGCTTCCATGCACTAGATAGTGAGTATTGTGAACCTACATCTGCTCCCTTTCTTGGTCTGATCTTGTGTCCGGTAGGCTGCGTCTCCACTTTCTTCATATTGACAGGAGGTCGAAATGATTTTTAGTGTGTCCATCTAGTGAAGTCCGTATATATATATATGTATCATTTTGACTATCTGAGATAGCCGTGCTTTGGCAGACTAGTATTTTTAGTAGATGGCTACTGAACCAGCGGACACTGGGTTTCTTACCCGATGCTCTACTAACTGAGCTACGAGATCCGACTGCTGACCAGTTTTCATTTCAATCATCGCTCGGTATAAATACTAGTCTCGCAAACCACAGCTATCTTAGATTGATAATGAATATATTGCTCCTCCTCTTTAATTCAGTTAGATTTGGATTGGGATGACAAGTCCTTACTAGGCAGTCAGTGGGAATACGATCAAGCGGAAGTAATGCGTCACAGATTCGCTTGACGGTTGGGCAAAACCCACGGCGACTGAAGTAGGAACTGGTTAGCAGTCGGACCTCCTAAGGCATCCGGTAGGAAAGCTGGTGGTCGATGGTTCGAATCCGGCCGCGGTCCAGATTTTCATCCTACCTTGAGTCATCACCTAGTGCAATATATATATATATATATATATATATATATATATATATATATATATACTCCATTCGGTACCTATTTGTTTAGTCTCTTTGAGGTGATATTTTTATCCTGGAATTGTTTATGCTAGTTATTTACGGCTCAAATTGTTTTTACCATTATCTAGACATTTTCTACTTGTAGTCTGTTTGGTGGCTAGCAGCGGAATCTAAGATGCACGTTTCGTCCTATTTGGGACTCGTCTGCTAGATGTACCTGCCTCTCAGAAAGCGGTGTTTTCCCCATTGAGACTCGAACCCAGTATTCACTGTTTCAAATGCCAGAGCTTTATATACTGGGGCATGAGAGCCATCTCTTATGCAACGGGCATCAGTTGTTGTTTGTGGATACTTGTAATTTACCGTTGCTTCAGTTGCATTTTGACTGATTAAGGTAGGACATCGTTGGTGAATTACTGTGTAACGTTCAAGTGTTTTTGTGGGTTTGCATCCAGCTTGTTGGTTGTAATTAGTGAGCAAGGAAGAATATACACAAGTTGGAACTGGTAGCCCACCTAATAATCAACATGCGGATTCTGAAAAGAAAATCGTAGACTAATGACTCAGAAAGCAGGAATTCTGGTGTAGTTTCAAATGCTTTACATCAGTATTCTCGAATGAAAAACCAGTTAATTAATAACGAAGCAAGAACAATAAACATTTGACATGAAATGACTTCACTTCATCCCACATTTTTTCCTTATTCCATGAATGGTGTGAAATGAATTACGAGTATATAGTTATTGATAATTAGAAGTTGTTCAATGTTAGTTGTAGTACTACTTGCCTGGTGTAGACAGCAAAATTGAAATGACTCATCAGGATGTAAAAGAAATGTATGAATAGTTGGCAGAAAACGTTTTAATAAGATGCCTATGTTTGTACTTCCCGATTCCCGAAACTGACGAATTCACTAGTCTAGTTAGCCAGTGGAAATATTGTGATTGGTTGACTCTGTTATCTTGTTTATATGATTGGCTGAGTGATCTGTGTATATACTACT